CTCAGAAAGGAGTTGGTGGCTTCACTGTTTCAACTTTTCATAGTACAAGGACTACCTGGACTACTCAGTCTGTTTTCAGTGCATTTGGTGGATATCTGGAACATGATCGAGTCATTCCGAGAAAATGGCCTGAACGCGATGCCCATTCACACACAGGTAATCCTTCAAGCTTCTCAGTATTACAGACTTGGCCTACTTATTTTGTTACTTGTACACCTTTTTATTGTTATTTTTATATTTCGCGGAACTATAGAACACACCAATGATCAGCACTAAATGGCAAAAACTGGCCTCCCGGCGACGGCTGCGTCACCTTGAGACTCCCTACTTTTTTAAATACGTCCCTTCCCCTATTTCGTTTGGACGCTAGCCGGTCGTGCAGCTACGCCTCTCACTGCCCTCAGATATGAACGGTGTAATCTTCATTGTGTCTGCCATCGTGCAATAAACCCCCAAGGACTCCCAATATTCCATTATTTCAGGTTATGTCCTTCTTTTTGTTATTCCCTTTCTGACACGATCTTGTGTCAAGCGTGACACAATCGCGGGCCTGGTTCCGCCTATTTGATCGGCGCGAACTGTTTCTTTGGAAGCATATAGTGACGAGTTGTTATGCCTTCTAACGCACATAGTAACGCGTTGAAGTGGCCAATTAACATGTCGCATAGGTCTGATGTAGCCGCCTGCATTCAGTTTAGAACATTTTTTTGCAGTTGGGCACTAGCCAGCGGCAATACAAAAAAGAATCCCCTCTCCGTTGCGTTTTCAATTGCTAAAAAATTTCCCACTCGCAATAGTGATGTTATGTGGCGGTGACATTGTGAAAAGCATTCTAGAAACAGAGAAACTATTGTTCTGCGCTAATTCCCACTTTTCTCCTTCGTTAGTTCCGCTCACCAATAAACCCTTGTAATTTTATGGGGCAGAGGTGGTGTAGTGGCAAGTCGCACGCTTAACACGTGCGCGGTGCGGGGTCAAATCCTGGATTGCCTCCGGCCCAGGCCAACCAAGCCTTCTACCTGCGAGAAAGCTAAATGGGTAAAGATTCGTCTGGAAGGAGAATGGCCTGTGCATCACCTTGGTCTCCTCGGTCACGATGGCAGGGTTATCGGCTTCATTTATCATTAATCTTGAAGCATCATCTATTAGGTGAAATATTAAAATGCAGTGGCAAGTATGCACCAGCAATACAGGTCAATGGCTGATAACTGCACTGATTGCCTCCATTAATGGCGAGTGAAAGGTGACTATTCTTCTCATATTCAGATAAAAACTTCGCGGATAGAACTGCTACTGACGACAATCTATCATAATTTGAACAAACGGCTCGTTTCTTCGCAACATATCGACACTGACAAGTCGATATCGTTATTATTGAGTTTTTTATTAGGAACCTATGATAAGTAAGTGTTAGCCATGAGGTAGTTGACGAGATTGGCGTGATTTCCATCGAAAGGTCCCTTTGCCAGGCAACAAACCGGCCGATTGACAGTGTTTTCGATAAAAATAGCTTTGGCGACAATATGCGCCGGAAAACTAGTGGACAAGTTGAGGTGTGAGTAAACTCTCCTTTACTTCACTCTTATTTCTTTTTGCTCTTTACGTTATATTTTGTACACTTTTATATTCACTTTCGATGGTTTTATATTCTCGACTCTCATTTCATTTTTTCAACATTGGAATTATTTGTATCTTTTTAGGAGTTTTTGACTTTCAGATATGTTCTCTCAAATTTCGGATTCGTCTGGCTTTTTGGAATACGATCGATTTACTGACTTCATGCAGCAGGTACTTTCCGAGTTTATGAGATAGGTTTCCGTTATTAGCCCGAGTTAATGACGTAAATTTCACTGCTTTACGGTGGGTAATACAGTGATGAGTAAAAGCGGATCTCCTATCGGAGGCGCAGTGCTCGTTGTCCTTATGGGTGGATTTTTTGGACCAGTGTGCTTTTCTGATTTGTGCGCTCCTCTTCTGTATCGTTTTGGGGGAGCGCCTTATGAAAAGAGCGTACAGCAAAAAGACTTCGCCCATACGATCATCTTGGAACGTGTCTTTGATGTTCAAATGATTTTGGAAATGCAGCGTGGCGGGCCACGTCAGCATCGACAAGTAAATCTTACTCATTTTGGACAGATCCCAAGAAATCAACAAAATACGGCACTGTTCACTCTCTACTTCCCTAGTCTTCGAAATTCAGACCTCATTTTGATTGAACTTTCATTCTGGAGTAGATTCCGCTAAAGTTGTTTCCCTTAGTTTGACTTCTGGATAGCCTACTCTTGGGAACCAAAGTGCCTGGCTCCGTGCCAGACGAGCCGACGCCACCTGTGGGATGCGCCGGTGCTTATGACGCATGGTGCAAGCATTTTCATGTCAATCTGGTTTGAAATTCTGGTTCAGAGCGCCAAATGCTTCTAGGGACAAGTTCTCAACAAATCTGCTAACTAGGATACTCTGTCGTCGTTGTCGTTGCCCGGGCACCAAAGCATATTCAAACAGGCGCACGTAGTATTCGTCCTCCCTACTTCAGACTACCCACTGGGTGACAATTCAATGTTTGGTGGGGTTCTGTCACGATAGGCCAGAGAGCAGAGCAGCAAAGGACTGCGACTGCCAAGGCTCGTGAGGTACAAAAAACACGATGCGAGCCAGGAGATGAGTTTTTCGAGGGAAAGGGCACCGGGGTGGATGAGCCACTTAGTATGCGTGAAAAGTTGGAATGTGAAAGGTCAGAAGTGGTCCATAAATCGCCATTCAGGCAAGAGAGCGCAGAGAAAAACAGAAAGTTGGCGCCATTGAAAGGAAA